CTGGCCAGTCGCGGGCAGCCGGGTCACAGAGGGCAGGCAGTCTCAAGTTCTCTCAGAGACCCCCACTCTCTCGGTAGAGATGGGGGGGGGGCCCAGGCCCAGCTGCCCGCCGCCTGCAGAGGGCACCCCGCCCCCTGCTGGCCGCCAGCCGCCCCCCCTTTCTCGTCTTGTGTTCAGCGAGCCCAGGCGGGCGGCAGGGCCGGGGTGGGCCGGGCCGGGCGGCCCGCGTGGGGTGCCTGCTGACGTTGTGCCCCTGGTCATACCAGGCAGGGAGCCAAGGAGCCAGGAGCGGCAGAACCAAGTCCCAAAAGGCAGTCCGAGGCACACCCCCTCGTCCGCGCCAATACACGATGGGACGAAGCCGTGGGGCGCGCTCCCACGCCATCAGCCACACGGGGACGCCAAGCAAAGCTGCGGGGGGGGGGTCCCCCAGCAGGCGAGGGTGATGCACAGATGCCAAGGAGACACGGAGGAAACCTGTCCCTCGGGTGCTGTGGCAGACAGGGGGCATGGTGTCGTTTGCCGGTCCCTTTTGAGGCGCAGACGGACCCAGCAGGCTCTGGCACGCAGCCCGGAGGAGTCCTGGAGGGGCTTGGCCATGGAGGCTGCCAGCGGTAGCTGCAGTGGGTACCGCACAGTGGAACGCCCAGAGCGCGCCATGGAGGAGCGCGCCAGGGAATACTACACAGCGAGGAAAAGGAACGCCTGCGGATGCACACGCAACTTGGACGAACCGGAAGGAAAGGATGCTGCCTGACAGAAGCCCGCTTCATGGCCCCATCTCCAGGGAGGAGGGGCCACCTGGCTGGAGGCCGTGCAGCTTGGCCACGTGGCTAGGCGTTGCTGAAGCGCCGCAGGCGGCACCTGTAGGTGCTGGTGCCAGGCCTGGAGCCGTGGGCGCGTTCCTGGGCGCTTCCCTTCCTGTAAACCTGGAGGGTCCCTGTAACTCAGCCCGTGTCCCAGGCCTGTGGCACAGCGGGGAGGGGCGGGACCCTGGGTCACCGCCTGGAGCGGAGCGGCACTGGTGGGGGCTACGGCCTCTGCAGCAGCCCCGCGACAGAGGAGCGGGATCTGTGTCTTGAAGCCCCGCTACCTGGCGGCCCTGCGCCTCAGCAACGGCCTTTGCTAAGTGGGAAACAGCTGCTTTCTACCACAGTAAACGTGATGGAGGGATTTTTGCCAAAAATGGACACACACAAGCAAGTCCGTGTGAAGGGCAACACAGCTACACACCAGCATGCTTTGATAGTATCTCTGGCTAGTGGGAACCAGGGATAGTATCTGCTGGGCTTTATTAGCCACGATCCCTCATTTTCTAGAAAAGGAACACATGCGTTCCCTTGTAATGAAGAAAGCAAGCCCAGGAGTGCGAGGACGCGGGGAATCGGACGAGAATGAGCCACGCGTTCAGTAAGCAGCCGCCGCGCCGTCCCGGCGGGCTCGCAAGCTCTCGGCCTCGCCCGGCC